CCGTAGGATCCTTCTCAAACATCGTTGGTGGTATTTTTCTAGGCTTTTTATGTGTCTTCTGTAGGTGTTCCATGTTTCGCAGCCATATGTTAGTATGGGCATTACAACTGTATTGTAGACGCGAAGTTTGGTCTCAGCGCTGATGTCATGATCATTGAAGACTCTCTCTAGAAAAGTAATGGTGCAATGGATGCATTTGGGTAGTGTTTTACGTCCTGCAAGGAATGATCATTTATAGTTATATTTGGGGCTTGGGGATTAGTGCTTGGTGTGGGTTGAGAATCTGCGTCTTGTTAAAGTTGACCTCTAGGCCGATTCTCCTGTATGCTTGGTTGAATGCATTGATAATTGCCGAAAGATCTTCTTCTGTAAGACTGGTTATCACGACGTTATCATCCGCATATTGAACTTAATCATCGATGTCGTCGATACTTTTGTCTTGACTCGTAATCTGTTTAGGTTGAAGAGGCCGCCATCAAGTCTTTACAGGATTTCCACTCTTGACGGCAGGTGACCCCCTGATAAGGTGAAGTATGGATCCTATAAATAGGGAAAATAGAGTGGGTACAATAACAACTACTGTTTAACGCCTGTAGTTACTTGGAAAGATTCTCCTTTTCCATCGTTGCGAGGGACGGTGGCATTTATATTATCCATGCAGCAGGCGGAGTATTTGGATGTACTTTTGCGGACACCTATCCTCTGCCAATATATTCCAAGGAGTTTCTCTGTTGACCGAATCAAGCATTTCTCTTGCATTTGTCTTGCACTGGAAATCATGTCAGCTGTACCTCAGTTGGGTTAGCCATTCTGTGTATCTGGTGGGAGTATCTCTTTGGCACTTGGTGATATTCTGACGTGGCAAGTATCTTTCCCGCAACAGAAAGTAAAGATATTCCTCTGTAATTTCCACATTGTATCGGGTCTTCAAAAAAAAAACCAATCGAAGATTGCTTTGATTACGAAAACGTACGTCGCATTACTGTTTCTTTGTTGGTCACGATTTTTGACATGCCATTTTGACATTAGGTTCATTGACAAAATGAAAGAAAAATTTTGCTAAGACATACGTTTAAAAAACCATAGCAATCTTTATTTGTTTTTTTTTTTTGAAGACCCGATACCTTGTCTCCGTGTTCGGCAGGTATTATCTCAGTAACCCATATTAATATATTGAGGCATCTTCAAAGATGTATTAACTTTATCATTCTACTCAGCTTTTTATCATACAGTCTGATGCTATCCCAAGTCCATATTTTTTTTGTTGCTCTAAGTATTCATAGAGCCTCTCTCCATCTCTCCTCCCTCATATGGATACCAATCCATAGTTGATATTTCAGAGATTTCTTGCAATTGAGACAAATTATCTCAATAAGTCGCCCATGACAATAATTTTTGATGGTCTGTCTTTTTCCATGGTTCTGGAAGGAAAATGTCTAGATCTTCTTCATTGCTAGTCGAGCTTTATGCTCGATTGTTCAGAATGATGTTTCCAAATCTACTTGATATAGCCCTGAATGCATACTTTGATGTCTTCTTTTATCATGACCCTTCGCTCTATATTTTTCAGAGTTCCATTATATCTCCAATGAGCTTCTTAAGTTCATCTTAAAGTTCTACAGTCTTTCCGTCTTTGGCTATGAATCTGATTTACGGTATAGGTTGCTATGTGAAGCTTGTTGAGGCCCGATTCTCGTCTCAGGGAGAGGAGAACTGCCCGAGAGAACAAATTTTTCGTCTTTATCATTCTCGTTCACTTTTCGATTAGGTTGACGAGGACAAAACATTCGTTCTCTGAGGGAGCTCTACTCCCTGGGGATGAGAATCGGGATCTTGCTGTATCTTGCGCTTTTCATTCTGTGCATTCCGAATAGTTTCGATCATTTATCTCCACCAGAACCCTTGAGGCAGATTGGATCATCAGTGTAGGATTCTGGACATTCAATCCACCTGAGATACTCTAAGTTCCTTCGTTTTGCGGTCGACATTTGTTCAATTAGGATTAGTTGACAATATAAGTTGACTCGTTTGCCATTCGTTTTGGTAACTGGATAGGACATGTGTTGGGTGGTAGGCTGGGACAGGGTTTTTTCCAATTGGGGCAGAAGAAGTCAAGCAAAGCTCAGTTAGACAGGTTTGCGTCCCCGAAGTGGACATAGCCTGTACTGGAACTAGGAGTGCCACCCCCTACCCGCTTTGTATTTATCTCAAAATACTCTTACGCTCAAAGAACTTTCACAAAAAATAAAATTAAGGTTCTGGACATTCAATTCACCTGAGATACTAAGTTCCTTCATTTTGCGGTCGACAGTTGTTTGATTAGGATTAGTTGGCATTATAAGTTGTCTCGTTTGTCATTCGTCTTAGTAACTGGATGGGAATGTGGTGGGTGGTAGGTTCGACAAGGGTTTCTTCCAATTTCGGGAGAAGAAGTCAAGCAAAGCTCAGTTAGACATGTTTGCGTCCCTGAAGTGGACATATCCTTCACTGAAACTAGGAGTGCCACCCTCTACCTGCTTTGTATTTATTTCAAAATATTCTTACGTTCAAAGAACGTTCACAAAAAATGAAATTAAGGTTGTGAACAATACAAGCACGGAAATTGTGACGTGGGGAAGTGATATAGTGTGTTATTATTTCTCAATCTCCATAATCGTATTGTCGATCATTTGATTTAAGGTATAGCTTGCTACGTGAAGCTTGCTGGTGTCTTGCTCTTTTCATTCTGTGCGTTCCGAATAGTTTCGATCATTTGTCTTCACCAGAACACCTGAGGCAGACTGGATAATCGGTGTGGGATTCTGGATATCTATATATATATATATATATATATATATATATATATATATATATATATATATATATATATATCTGAGATACTAAGTACCTTCGTTTTGCGGTCGATATTTGTTCAATTAGGATTAGTTGGCAATATAAGTTGTGTCGTTTGCCATTCGTCTTGGAAACTGGATTGGACATGTGTTGGGTGGTAGGGTGGTACAGGGTTTCTTCCAATTTCGGGAGAAGTAAAACAAAGCTCAATTAGACAGGTTTGCGTCCCTGAAGTGGACATATCCTTTACTGAAACTAGGAGTGCCACCCCCTGTCCACTTTATATTTATCTCAAAATATTCTTACGCTCAAAGAACGTTCACAAAAAATAAAATTAAAGTTGAGACCGATACAGGCACAGAAATTGTGACGTGGGGAAGTGATATGGCATCTTATTATTTCTCAATCTTCATAATCGTATTGTCGATCATTGGATTTTCTCGATCCCGGTTCTTTTTTCAATCACGTGACGTGATGTACTTACCGATTATACGCACTCTTGAGGGATTTGGAAGTATCTGGTCGTGTTTCCCATATCTGTAGGTCGTTTCCAATCCGACTCGAAACCATTTTCGGAGAAGATACTAGATTCCCTGAACACTTGGTAGCTATCAATGGTCACTTATGGAACCGACCTGACTGGTCACGTTATTGACAAATTCTCAAGAGCTTATTGAATATTTTCGGAAGAGTTTGTTGTAAATAAAATACTCATTAACATCCTTGTCGAGCTGATCTATCTCATCATTATTTTCTTGGATACGTTAGCAGATTTCTTTAGGGGCATGAAGTCTCTCTTTTCTCAGTCTCAGTTTTTTGCTGCTGACTTTCTTTGTTACAATTAGCCAGAGCTTTGATTTATCTTCCGTCTGAGCTCCGTTTATTTTGAACGATGGAATGCTGGCTAAACTGATATATGGATGTTGCAAATTGACCCTCTGGACACTGCGCCGATTGAATGGATAAGGAGCGATTAACCACGATGTTCTTGAATTTAAATTAGAATAAACTGCAGAGAACCAGTCTCATGGAAACTATGTTTGGGTAGTGCGTAGAAGATACTAGTCAGTTGCAGGGCTGGTTTAACCCTGTATTCCGGTATATGTAGCTCAAATGACCAATGTATTAAGTGACCCTTAATGCAAGTTGGAATGATGAATCATCATTAAAAAAACTATGAGGAGATTAATTTATTCAGAATTGAATCGGTTATTACATTGCAATTCGTTAAAAAATTCAATTCGATATATAATAAATTATGATGCTAGTTGGTATTTCTACTTATTGGGTATTTGTAAAGTTTCTCAAATGAATTTATATTTATCTTATGGGCATCACCGTTGAACTCCAACTGGTAAAAGAACTTCACCAGCAAAAGTGAGCACTGCTCAAACGCACGCAACGAAAACATTAAAATTTTGATTGAAGCAAGAGTATTGGAAAAAATAAATACAAAATAAAGTTTTCATAATACCTCCGCAGTACCTATGTACCTAGTTGTTTGTGATGGATAAACAATGTATACAATTAATTTGGAATACTACCCATTTTTATAGAGCATATGAGATCATTTGCAGTTTTTCGTCTGTTTCAAAACGTTTTTTCCTAACTTTGTTGAAAGTAAGTTGGAAAACAAAACGCAATTAAACGGAGACTTGCATTATGACCGTCGTCGTGCAGTAGAAAGTAATTTTTTTGTGATGAAAACGCCTTCAGTGGTCTAAAGGCTAAGCGCCGCAGTGTAGGTCAATGAAAGTTAATAAATTCCAAGTGCAAGTTTAAAATACCCGATCAAACAATGTATATAGTGAAACAATTAATAATTTTGCTAAGAAAAATAAAGCGAAAGAATTTGCATAGTACACACGGTCAACATTCCTTCAATACGCATTCTTGCTTGTTTGCTTTGTGCAGTCAAATCTTATGTAAATGCTGAAGAGGATTTCCAAGATTTTTTTCTGTCTAATTTAAATAATCAATTGGGAATCTTCACTCGATAAAAATAGCTGGGTAGAAAGTGAAAATGAGGAAATAAAAACGATACGCCAAAAAATGATTGATTATACTTTGGTTGGTTATTATTATATAATGAGCAAATAATTAAAAGATGACGCAACACGCACTTAAATTATAATAATTAATAAGCATATATAATTTTTTTTTGCCAGGTTACATCCAGACCTAGCACAGTCGGTATCTCATCACCTGCAGGAAGTCATGGACGCCATCAAGCAAAGGGATTGTTCCAGGTTTTCTTGCAACAGGAAATTTCCGTTTCCGGCTCAGGCGGCGTAACGATGGAAAATCTCTGAAGACGGCGTGGAAAATTGAGCGCTTTTTTTCTTTTTTTCCATCAAATCCAAAATCAAAAGACTTGTAAAGAGGCGTTGAAAACAGCGATGCGGAAAAATAGGGTTTTAGAGGCTATTTTTCTCAACCATCCTTACATTAGGTATTCATTGAATTTTTAAAAAAATTAGGTACCTGCTGAATGCCTTTTGGAACGCTTGTGACAAATTTGTTTCGATAATATTTATTGAAACTTTTAATTAAAAAAATTAGCACTTATTTATTGAATTCACTTAGGTATAGCTAAAATTATAGTGGCTTAAAGATGATGTTTTCATCATATTGAGACAAAAATTTATGTGGCTAGGTTTTGGTACCGAAAAAATCCAGCTACATAATAATATTTATATGTAATCTAGCCTAGTTGTTTCACTATTAACTAGACAGTCTTTAAGTCAAAAGTTTGTTGGCAAAAAAAGAGGCTGAAAATAATTTTTTTGAAATATTTAGTTACCTTTATTTTAGCTGGTGCTACCCATTCGCCAAATAAAGGGTATTCTATAATGTAATACAATAATAATACAAAATTGCTGTATAATTTTGCTTTTTAGATGTAAAGCTAATATGTATTATTTTGTAAGACTTTGTGCAAAATATTTATAATACGTATTTCCGTTCTTAGTTGATTTAGTAACATTATGAAATTGTATATACGATATTTTTTTTAATATAAGTTTTTATTTATGACCAAATATTTCCTTTGAGTTTTATATTTTGATTTATTTTTTGTGGGTTAAATAAGTTTCCGCTTCGGTAAACTTTGTTTTTAAAAACTATTTATTTTCAAAACTAAGTATTACAAATGAAAACCCTAAACTTATTCTGAGTGAAACAAATTACTCCGATGCGATCTCGAAATTAAATGAATGCTTTACAGCAGATGCGTGCGTATTTTATGATGAAATAATTGCTAGCATAAGCAAGATAAATATTTATGAGGGAACAAAAGGGACTTTATTGGTTTACAATCTAATTCCTCCCTCCTTAAGCCTAGTACTCATAACTGCGAAATTCGCACTTTTTTGATATTGCTTCGACAATTTGACGTTTGATTCACGCATAAAACGTCAATTTGTCGAAGCAATGTCAAGTTATGAGTACTAGGCTTTAGTTGTTGTAAAGGGTTGATGATGTACCAAGTTAGGCAACTCCATTTGAACCTCAGTTTCCAGTTTTTACTTTTTTCCTAAATTTACGTTTAAAATATAAAATGGTTATAATTACAAAAATTACCTACACTTAAAATTATGAGAAAATTTTGGATTAATTTTCTTTGCTTTTCCATCCATAGAATTATGAATACATATGTGGATATATGGTTATTTACAAAGGTTAACTCTTTTAAGGGTCGAACTTCAAATTGTGATGCTTCTCCTAGGGCTTCTTGAAGGGCTTCATGGTCTACTGTTTTTAGTTTGACCGTCGTGATGTTTTCAGGAAAAATAGAATATCTATTTTGGGTATCTTGAGTTCCAAATTGAAGTTTTCTTTTAATGTCGTCAGAAAATGTGTGTCTTATCCAGAGTCACTGAACATTTTCTCCTGGAGATTAGAGTAGGACTGGCAATAATCTTGATGTAGGTACTTCTTTTAATTGCACTTCATAACTGCTGTCAAACTTTTTTTGGGAATTAACAATAACTGAATGTTAGTTAGTTCTTGAACTGTCGGTTTTTCATAATATTCGATTTTCAAGAAAGGCATGTTTGTTGTTCACTATTAATGATGCTGTGAACACAGGGCTCATCTGGGGTTAATGTCATTAGGGCACTTATTTAAAGCATTAAAATATGTGTCTGTTGTAAGTAACAAATAGGGATGCTTAATATTAATGATATAATTCTGGATAGGAATAGGATAGAGTTTATACATCAAAAAAGGTTTTGGGTTTATTTTTGGTGTATGGATTGTAAATATTATCAATTCCTTTTGAATGACTGTTGTCGACATTTTTTTGTAATACTTTATTACGTTGTCAAATGAGATTTGCTGATTCTTGGGTAGGTATACTTTTACTATTATTAGGTTCAAAGGTATATACCGGGTGACCACGAGATTACTGACCAAGCTCTAGTTCAGGCATGAATATCAATATCGATTTCAAGTTTTGAGGATGTATATTATTGATATCGATGCAGAATTTCGCTATAAAAACAATCGACTATCGCTTCTGGTTTGACCGCAAGTGCCATCAACTTCTTTATTTCAACTAGATCACCCCCTATATTATTACATTTTTGGATTCTATGAGAAATTCTAAGCATATTTTATGTATAATATCCTATACCTAACTTTAAGAGTTTTCAAGAAAATCGCGATTGAAAATGTCGAAAAATAACTTTTATTTTAGTTTTGACAGCAAACAATGGAAAGAAGGTTGAAGCTTTTACGATATTTTTAACTCATTTTAGAAGCACTAACGGATCCCACCACAAAAATATCAGTTCCGGTTCAATCGAAGGTTTTCGGTCGGTCTACTTTTGAGGTTATGTTACTGCAATAATTTCAATGGTATCCCATACTTAGAACTGAAAATTCGTATTCTAGGAACAATTTTGAATCTCTTTTGTATACGCTTTCCTATACCTAAAGTCTACTGTTTTTGAGATATTTTACACTTGATGTAAGGATGTCTTTGGAACAACGAAGACCAAAAACAGTATTAACAGCATTAATTTTAATCCTTTTTATAAGTTTATTTAAATAGATCACACAGAATGCAGTTTAAAAGATAAGTCTCATTTGTTGTGTTCCTTGAATCCCGATTTGCACTGTTACCCAAAGGTCGCAAATAGTCCAAAAAGTTAGGGACGCAAACGTGAACAATACTGACGACGGCCATGCTAACCCAAAATTATCCAACTATTGCCATTTCTTTTAACGTGAGCGTAAACGAAAATCGTGTGGTAGAAAATAATAAGCGGCCATGAATCTTCAATGTTGACAGAATGACAGGTTTTTCTAGAGGTGTATGCCATCAATATGCAAATTTTGGTCATCGATTTAAATGAAAAAGGGACAAATACCTAGAGTAGCACACCAACAATAAATTTCCAAAATTTCGGATAGTAAAATGCTGGAAAAAATTAATAGGACAGAATTTTCGAAAATTATAATGTTTTTATCAAAAAATTATTTTCGTTGTTCCAAAGACATCCTTACATCAAGTGTAAAATATCTCAAAAACAGTAGACTTTAGGTATAGGAAAGCGTATACAAAAAAAATTCAAAATTGTTCCTAGAATACGAATTTTCAGTTCTAAGTATGGGATACCATTGAAATTATTGCAGTAACATAACCTCAAAAGTAGACCGACCGAAAACCTTCGATTGAACCGGAACTGATATTTTTGTGGTGGGACCCATTAGTGCTTCTAAAATGAGTCAAAAATATCGTAAAAGTTCCAACCTACTATCCATTGTTTGCTGTCAAATCTAAAATAGAAATTATTTTTTGACATTTTCAAACGCGATTTTCTTGAAAACTGTTTAAGTTAGGTATAGGATATCATACATAAAATATGCTTAGAATTTCTCATAGAATCCAAAAATGTAGTAATATAGGGGGTGATCTAGTTGAAATAAAGAAGTTGATGGCACTTGCGGTCAAACCAAAAGCGATAGTCGATTGTTTTTATAGCGAAATTCTGCATCGATATCAATAATATACATCCTCAAAACTTGAAATCGATATTGATATTCATGCCTGAACTAGAGCTTGGTCAGTAATCTCGTCTGTAGAATTCCGATTGTTCTTTATGTTTAAGAATTGGTGATGAAAGGACTTGTTTAAGGATTTGTGCTTGATCTTTCAAATTTTCATTAATAGTTTGTTGGTTTTCGTTTTTATTCAACGTTTGAATATATGAGTCATATCTAGGCAGCACTGTCTTCGGCGTCAAGTGTTCCATACAGCCATTTTTGTGCTGTTCCCACGAAATTCAAGATTCTGCGTTGACTTCGTTTTCGCGAGGAAAATTGCTTTAGGAATTTCTTTATTGTCTCAATTCGTGATTGACTTATTTCAATATTTGCTTCGAATAAAGCAGCAATATAGTCTTTAGACCAAACAGTTTGGTTTAAAGTGTTGTTTAAATTTTGAGCGTTATTTCAAGATTTCCAATACTTTTCTTTATAATATTTAGTTGTATTAATATGGTAGTATGCAGTATTATGATCGTTCGTTATATAGCTCGTTCCTATGGTAACATAGGGTTTTCTACTGGTGTTAATTTGTAAGAATTGGTTGTGGTTCCTACGATGATGAGGATGACGAATGTTGCAGGATCATTTTGGTTGGTCTGAAACAAATTGTTATGGTTGTTTAAGTTGTCGTTTTACGTTTTGATTACTAAAACTTAATTGAGTCATATCGAGTGCTAGTATTATTTTTATTGAATTATTTGATAAAAATAGGGTATTCTAGTTGGGGTTCCGTTTCGCGTTTTTTATTGATTTCCTCTAAATTTTGCGTTTGTTTTGTTATTAGTTTGTCATGAATAACCTTATTTAGAGTTTCTGAACAGTCAGCGAAATTATTGATATAATAATCTGTCGTTATTTTGTTTTGTGAATGTTCGATCGGAATTGCATAATTTAAATCTCCTTTGATTATTTGGAATGAGGTGTATCCTGTGACACTGTGTATGCTATTATCATAATTTGAAATAGCAACAATCATGAGATCGTTTATGCTTTTGCGTGGATTTTGCAAACTCGAGCTAGTTATACCTACTTTCTCGTAAAGTAGAGTGTAGCCTTTCAATTGGACTGTTAGAGTTCGGATTTCGAGGTGTCGGTCGTGTAATGAAATTCAATCTTATGTAGGGTATATAGATCGGTCATTATGCCATTTTTGAATTCGGCTGCATTGTCGGAAGTGATTCTTTGGGAGATTCCGTGATTGCTGAAATATTTTAATAGCTGTGTTTTAATTTCAACGGATGTTTTGCTTGTGATAGGAAGAGCTTCAGCGAACTTTGAACTTTTCGTTCGAAACAGTATAAGTATCGATGTAAAAATGTTCGAAGGGTCTTGATCCGTTAGGGGTAGGCTTGAAAATTATTTTATAAGGTTGCCTTTCTTACTTTGTTTTATTGCATATCTCACAAAATTTTATGTATGGTTGAACCAAAGTCTCTTGAACGCGCATCTTTTCTAGGTTGGGCCAGTAATATCGTTTTTTTAAAGATGAAACGTTTTCTATCATCCCGCGACGGGAAGTTTCAGTTTCGTGAAACATTTGAAATTTTTCTTTTTGTTCTTCAGGAAGGTTCAATGTCCTCGACGAAAGAATTGGAAATTAACAGTTTAAAAGAATTGAATTTAAACGGTGTTTGTAAAACTCGTAAGACTATGTGCTCTAGAGTTTTACTGTGGAAATACATACAATATGTATTGGTGGCGTATATTCTTTCATTAGTGTATGATTTGTAAGTCTGAACGGTCATTTGGTAAGAAGAATGTTATTCTCGTTTTATTTGGGAAAGGTGTGGTTATTTCTTTTTGAATGGTATTTTCATCCGAATACCTGAAAATTACTTGATAAGGA